TCCACGCTACTGTGCGTGTCTGCACGCTCAGCCCAAAAAGACTCATTATTCCCTCTCGCTGGTGGGATGAGGTTTTTGCTGGATTCTTTCTTATGAAGTGTGTGATCCGTCATTACGGGCCTGGAACCAGTCCACTGCGGATGGCATGGACGTCAACTTTTGGACGTGCAGGACGAGCGCTGACAACGACAAGACGACATCGTCAGTGAGGTCGCCGACTCATGCATCCAACGACTTCCCTTCCTGCGATGCCCTGCGAAGTAGCACGCACCATCATGATACCGTAGCGTATTCGTACGTACAATTCTCGCAAAGACAGGGCAGACACAGCAGAATTTCCAGCTGTTGGCGGCCTGGTAGCAGGGATAGATCCGTGTTGTTTCGTTTCAGCTGAAGTCCTTGCCTGGTTACATCCGATCAGTGCCCACCCTCGTGTCTTCCAAAGTATTTCCCTGCTAGGAAGGTCAAGCACAGAACGCAGCCATCAACGGCGTCCAAAGTGTTTCGACGTCTCTTGCAATTGCCCTATACGGCCTGTGACTGTGTCGTGATCGTAACTGGAGACAAGTGGCGGCTGTCACTTTGTCTGCTGGCCTGCCAACAACTTGATGGTGTACAGCTGTCTTGTCTAGGAAGTCGTTTGACAGAAAGGGAAACACTCGTCTGAGCGGCTCGTAGACTAAATGATCTATTTCCTCTTTGGGACACTAAGCCACAAAAAGGGTTTGGTGATAGCAACCCGGGTCGCCTGAAGCAAAGTCGTGGAGACCGGGAAGCTCGGTTCAGTTGACGGAAGACGTTACTGCTAAGCACAAGTGGATAAGAAAATAGGCTCGAGCTACTGGCCAGGTCGATTAGCTTAGGTAGATCGTAACCTGACACGCCGGCGAGGAGACTTAGGGTGATTAGTGGGTCAAATTATTTGTAGAAAGAAGGAATTATGTGGCTGGAAGGTGTCGAGAAGCGTGGCTCCGCGCCCAATGAAGATTTGGCGACAAACCAACGGTCGCAATAATTTCGGCGGCGTAGCATGATTGAAGAAGCCACCGGGCTTACGGGAGTCAAGATCGGCGCCGGGCTGAAGTTGGGCGTCAGGATAGCCAAGTTCCCGCCGATGGTTTGTTGATAGGTGAAGCCGCTGTGCCGAGTCCACCGAATATACGAACCAGCTCCGCGTAAGTTGATTGGATGTTGTTGTTTCGTGAGGATGAAGTTGAAAAATGTAACTCGGCAGTCGGATCAACAACCTGCAGGACGGGCAAGCCACGTTTGAACATGCAACGGAACGAGATGCGACGAAAGATTACGATGCTGCAAGACTTGCAAAGCCGGCACCGTAAGGCGGGATTAGTGACGGCAGTGGCTGGCAATGGCTCATGGGCGCTTCGCAGTCTCGGGGACGAAGAAGACTGCGAACGTGAAGAGTAACGAAACGCTTCCCAAGGGTGCGTGAAGGCGGGTTAGGACATCATCGGATCTTCGTTATCTGAGAAAACGGGGCTGCCGATTCCACATCGAGATGGATGCAGCGATGAGCGCACATCAGAGCGGCCATCAGAGCGGCCGTGTCGGATACGGGAGAGTCCCCGTGGAATGGACGAGATGACGGCAGTTGAGTTGATAATCATTTGGGAACCGCAAATGCTTGCAGCATGGTTCAGATTGCATGGCTTAGAAAAAAATGGGAACGGCGGCTTCGTACTCAATGTTGTGCAATCCTAGGTAACGATGAAACGGTGTCTGACAGAGAGCCAAAGTTTCTGTCTCTATCGCGCGCTGAGAGCTCGCATCGCATCAGGCCGAAAATAGGAAACAAGAATTGGTAGCAGCTTGCCTATTGAGTCGTCCTTCAGGCGTAGCAAGGTCACCGAGAGTGAACAGTGCAACCAAGTAGGTTGGCAAGGAACGGCCGACTCATAAGCGGCTCAATCGCCGCTTGTGTCCCTGTCAAGCGAGCCTAGGGAGGCTGACGGAAGACTGGTTGCCAGGGTTGACCTGGGCCCTCTAGGCCTCGCAAAATGCTGGCAATACGAAATCGCCGAGTCACCGTTTCGACCGTCAACCCGCTGTTCTGAGGGTCCTCCCTGGTGTGCCTGGTTCCTCATTTTCATTAGACGACCGTCCGAGCGGCGGTAGGCTCTGGCGTCATGGTGCAAGCGCTTCTCTTGGAACAGCGCGAAGAAGAAGGTGAGGCAGCCGTCGTGAGCCCGTGAGCTGCTTGAGCTGCTTGAGCTGTGGAGCGATATGGTCGGAGAATAACTCCTCGTCCCAGGAAGATGCCTGCGAAGTGCACCATGATTCGCCCGCTCGGTCCAAGGCGGGGGAGACGTATCTTGTCAAGAGGCGCCGAGACCGACATGGAAGAACCTTGCCTACAGGTGTACAGTGGTAGGGCGACAAGCGACCCTGGTAACCCCAATCGTGCCCACCCCTGGGCGGATCAGTGGATACGACATCTATCTTCGCGTGCGGTGGGTGGACTATGGATCGTGGTACGGATGGTAATACGGGTGGATGATGCCAGAATAGGGGTCCAGACATTCGGTCTCGGATCAATCGTCTGTCGTTCGCAAATAACTCGGGAACGAGAACAAAAGACATTTGCCTGACCAACTCTAGCTCGAGCTGGCAAAAACGCAAAGTTGGGAATTGTCCCATAATGCCCCTGCGAGTACTCACATGCGCCAGAACTTCTAGCCGCATAGCAGTCGGGAGCGAGATAGGAGCGCGCTAGTAACGACAGAAATATCCAATCCCATCGCGAGGAGCTTATTTTTAGCGTGTGGTGGCGGCGGATAGCTGTCGCCGCTTTCTTTACTTGCTCGTCGAGGTTTTGCGTCCGACATGGCCTTTCTTATTCCTGGAGTGGTGACATGTAGACTTTGACTAGACTCTAGACTTTGGAATAACTCAGAGTTGGGCCGATGTTGAAGGCGCAAGTAGACCGAATAGAGGACTCTTGCGAGTTGCTTCTTAGATGCTGTTGGACTGTGCTGCGACATTGGATCTCTCTTGTCTGGGCTATCGGGCTGCAGATGGCAAAGCAGGTCTGCGGCGTTTGATGATTGTTGTCATCATTGTTCCATATTCGGGTGCAGAAACACGACTCTCGCTGATTAGATGCGCACAGCCAGGGCTGGTCTGTGGAGATGTTTCTCGAAGCCGCTGCCGTCGAAGTGGCGTCTGTGGATTCAAGCTGCGCTAAGCAGACATTTGAGTATGGGACCACGAGGCAACGCCATCGAGGATTCTTTGTCCTACCCACCGCCAAGCGAGTGGTTGTAGGGAGCCACGATCAAAGAATTGCAACTCGGTTGCCCGACAGGGAGGTGAGCCTCTCGAAGGATCTTTGGAGGTCCAGAGATGAAATAGAAGGAGCCGAAGAAGACTGGCCACTTCAAGAGTGGAGATGTGAGTGGGCACGAATCGAAACAGGTTGGTAAGGCGTGCCGCGTGTTGTGTGGAGGGGCCGGGGAGGATGTCCTAGATCTGATCTGACAGTGTATTGAAATATCGATGGAGCATTCCTGAAAGACCACGAAGGTTTTGTGCGGGTTGTGCGGGTTGTGCAGCTCGTGGCTCGAATGCCCCCCTCCCCCTCCGGCTTCCTTTTTTCAGCTTGTGATGATGGCTATCTTGATGTTTGGGTGGGTTCTGATCTGGGTCTCGAGCAAATCTCTTTCCGAGATAAGGTGAGATGGAGGAAGCTTAGCTGGCTGTCCCGATGGTGTCGAACATGGATGAGATGGCTCCAGACAAGCCTTGGATAAGCAAGGAGGAGGCTGAGACGAGGAGACACGGCAATGCACAAGTGTGATGCTTTGACTGGCGGATGATTTGTTGTTGTTGTTGCCGCTGCTTGTTGTTGCTTGAAGTCGTCGTGTTGGTGGTTGATCATAATTCCCACAAAGTGTGCACGGATCTCTTCTTCTCCTTCCATCTCTCGAAAATGGGAGGGAGCACCACCGTCAGGCTTAAGCCGATGTGTATTATGTCAGCTCGTGGCTGAGTAAGTTGCAGATGTAAAAGGGGACCCCTCCATTCTCCAGTTTTAGCTCGATAGATACGTACCTTGGGAAGCACGACAGATCAGGACGGCCCGGCTTTCGGGAGAGGGCGGATACGTACCGCTAGACCCTCCTCCTTCAACTTCCCACACCCACTGCTCTGTGTCTCTGCTTTCCATTCTCCAACCCCATTGCCTTTCCCCAATCCCTCTCACCAATCCCGCTCGTCCACCCACCATGATCCATCTCTGTCGACTTCATCTCATCTCACACCCTTCGGCGCGGCCGTAACGACACACACCATCTCACTCATCTCCCCCATCCCCCTTGCTTATCCTTCTTCGCCGCGGACCTTTCCCTGCCTTAGGTGCGACCCTAGCGTTTCCTCCCGTTCTCATGGCTTGTCCCGTCTCCCGTACTATCTGCACCACAAATGAAGGATCGTCGTCAACCCGCAGGTTGATCGTTCACCGTTGATACCATCACCGAACCTTGCAGTATTAGCGCAGCCATCGTCGCCCGAAATCGATTCGATTCCTTGGCGCAAATACGGCCCCCTTGAATAGCCTGCTATGTCCGTCAACATCAACTTCTATTCTTCACCAAATTCACGTCGAATTACGATGTGCAACGCTTGTCATCAATGACAGCGACATCTGCTTAAGCATCTGGTCCAACTCGAGTTATCGACGCCAGTCTCTCGCTTCGCAGCCAGTGGTAACTCGTTCAATGCCTTTCTTACATACATATGTGTTGGCTATCGATTCTGACGGCTCCATAACCTTGTCGTGGCTTTTCTCCGGCAATAATCTGTCCAAGCACATTGACTTACGCATCTATCGCCGCACCAAGGCTCCCGCGCGCGATTTGGTTTACTAACCTTGAGAACAGCACCATCCTGCAGTCTTTCTTGGCTTCAGTTCTTCCCGCTGGTGACTGTGCTGCTGCCCGCTGCAATGCTTGATATAGTGTCTGATGCTGGACTCTGCGCCAATGTCTGCGCCAGCGTCTGATACTGCCTTTGCGCAGCCTCAGAAGCAGCATGATGCGGCTAAGCAGCGCAGACCACCCCTCGGCTTCAACGGCAGGGCCAGGTATTGACAAAACCCCCCCTTTGTTTAGTGCTGTCAAATATCCATTTTAGGAAACAGCGGCGCCATTCCCGCGGGTGGAACTGAGGTAAGGTAAGGCAGGCCATCCCACACACTCACATACACACATATACATGATGGATGGGACTAAGGGAGACACACAGGCTCAGCCCAGCCTCCCACACGAACCGTGACGACATGTCTCCCACTTCATTTGCCTTTGCCTGGGATCCGATTGTCATGCCAGTTGGCACAGACCTGTCGAGTGTCGAGGCAGAAACAGATGGCACGCGCCAATGGCCACTCAGTCCTGGTCGATCTGCCCCGTGCCTTGAAACCCGGCAACCCGCAGCTTTCAGAGATATCCCGGCCAACCTACATGTTCAAAAATCCATGCCTCGGCCGGGTCTAGCCAGCAGCGTTCAAGCCCACCATGGTCGACATGGCTCTAGCATGGCTGTCTCTCACAGCGACTGCTCCAAGGTGTTCCCTAGCAAATCAGTTGGATGTTGTGGCCCAAGTGTCGATGACTCTCTGTAGACATTTCTTGGCTCCCTCTAACCTTGCTTTTTCGTACTCGTTCGGCCGGCAAAGATTATCTCTCCACCCACCCACACGCTTCAGTTAACCTTCTCTGACATTGTCTCTCATCTTCATCTCTTGTCTCGTTCTCTTTCGCTTTCTCTAACCACCCTGAGAACGTTCATGCTTACTCGGTTGTTGTCATCTTCTCTTCCACCTTCTCGACTCTTATTACTCGTTGTCTATCATTCTGTTTAGTCCATCCACAACTGGGTTGACTCGCAAGGTATCCCACCTCCCCGACTGCTCCTTCGGGATCATCCCATTTCTTGTCTGTGCCCTGGCGTTTCTGTTTGATCTCCCACCCCCTCCCTCTCCTAGTCTAGGAACTCCCACATTCATCCTCACGAATTTGTACGCCGTATCCTCACCGGCTCGCCGAACGCTCTCTCCCCCCTCCACCAAGACCCCCATGGCCGTCCTTTCTCTCTCCCCGTCGCCGCCGCCACGGCGCCGCGGCCCCTGTCAAACATAAAGCTTACTCAACTGGGTTAATCAGTACGAACGCACTACTCAGGTACCTCGCACCGTTCCCCCGCCGGTCTTGGCCGTTTTATTGTTGGACCTGGCTAGTGTATGGCTCCAATGTACCTACGCAATACGAAAAGCCGTGGTCTGCTTCAAGCAGAAGTACACACATACGCATACCACAGATCCCTCTTGATCCCATAGCACGCACTACTGTATCCTGTTATGCAACCTGGTGCCTTGCGTGCCTTTGTCCACCTCATCACCATGGTCATTCATGTCCATGTTATGCCCAGGCTGACCCAAAGAGTGTTGTGTGCGCCGGCCACAGACCTCATCGACTTGTGGTAGGTATCCACTCCAAGCATTACTATCTCTTGCTATGCTCTATTTCCAAGACCGATTCCATGGCGGCTGAACACGCATCGGCGCCGTTTCCTTCCTCCCCTCACAAGTCCCAGTGGAGTGCTTGATACCAAACATTCAGAGCCAGTGCCGGGCCACCAAGTAGCCTTGTACCCTCGCTCAAGGATCCATGTTGCACATCTCCATGTGCTCCATTGTCTTGCGTTAAACGACTGTGCGTGCTCAGTCTGCTTTTCGTCCTGAAGCAGGCACCGCCTCGGCCTCCCAAGATCCCATCGCCCGTCACCCACACACTATTACCAACCCTATCCATCCAAGCTATTCCCACTTTGCTGGGAAGAAGCTGATGCCATGCCCAGACCGCTTCCGTATTCGCCGAGCTGACGGGTCCCATGCAACCCTTGCCCACTGCGCCCGGCCCTGGTCCATACATTATTCCTTTCTCTCCTCGACTTTGCTTCCGCGATATATTTCAAAACCGTCCACCCTTTCAGCCTGCTTCGTACCGATCCTGGAGGAACTCTTCTCTCTTACTACTACTCGTTCATCTTCTTCATCGCTGTTACCAAATTCGTAGACGCAAGTTCGTCCAGAACTATAATCCGCAGCGTCATTGCCTTATCGAACCCTATGCCTTAGACCATTCCGTCGGGTCCCTTCTTATTACACGGCAACCGCTCCCAATTTCAGAGCCTCCCTTTCCACCTCTTCAAATTCGATACACAATCCTAAATTTATTTGATTGTCCCTACCTCGTATACATCATCGAGTACGTAGCATCGTGTGCCTCGCCAATTCAACCACATCGAACTTGATTACCATCACAACGACAAAGTTTGGCCAAGACATCGCATCATTCGCTTGCAGCTTGATGATAGCTCCTGTCTAGTAACCTCACATCAAACTCGATCGCTTCAGAGCGATCCAAAAATACCGTCACAATGGTCTTCTGCGCATACTGCGGGAAGTCCTTCACCAGAAAGGAACACCTAGAGAGACATATCCCAAGCCGTATGTTGATTCTCGTGCTGGAAATGGTCGAGGCCGAGCAAAAACTGACTGTTCTGGTATAGACACCAACGTAAAGCCCCACCGCTGCAGTGCCTGCCAGCTTTCGTTCGCACGACGGTTAGTTCGATATGGAATCTCATCGACAGACATCCACTGACACACCTATGACAGAGACCTTCTGCAAAGACATCACTCAACATACCATGAGGCGCGGGACCCCATGGAGCCGTTGCCTGGCGGTGTTCCCACAGTAGCTGGCCGGACACCAATCGCTTGCCAAAATTGCGCCAACGCAAAGACGGGTTGTGATAAGAGAGTACCTTGCTCGCGTTGCGCAGAGAAGAATCTGCCCTGCGCAGCGAGATTCGCGCGGAGATCATCAAAGGCCGCGGTCAGAGCTGCCCAGGCCAGCGCGGCTTTCCAACAACAAATGATGCCGACTGTGCCCCAACCACCACAGCCAGCTCAGCCTGTTGCATTCATGGACCTCGATCCAACCATGCCCAAGCAAGACTCACCTGGCAAGATGTCAACTGGGTCTCCAATCGCGACCATGGACCCTCGCATGATGGAAGGCCCTGTGAAGAAGAGCTCGCCAGCACAGTCACATCCCAGTTCTGATGACTTCCCATCACCACACAGCCGGGTAGATGGGCTCGACGAGTTCATGCAGCTCAACAGCGATTTCATCACACCTGACACGAACTACCAAGATATGATGGTCTGGCCTGAGTACCCTCTGGAGCTCGACATGTACTCCAGTCAGCTCCCGATGTCGCGGCCCGACATGTCTATGCCCAGCTTCACAGAACTGAGCGACATGTCTTCAAGCTCAGCATCAGAGCCAATGACTGCCTCCTCTTCACGAGGATCTATCCACACGCGAAGTACCAGCATCATGTCCACAGCTGATTTTGACACTACAATGAAGCCAGCTGAGCAAACGGTCGGTATGCCGAGTGAATCAGCGATTCCAGAGTTTGAAGTTGTCATTGCCGCCGAGGACTCCTGGCCACTCGCTCGATGCAATCCGCCCATCTATTCAGGAACGTGCCCGAGGACGGCGATCGTGCACTTGGAATGCCTGGAAAGAAAGTCCAAGGAAGATGGTACCTGGAGCTCGCTCGAGAAGTACCTGGAGAACGTCGATTGGGACACTACCGATGCCTCCGTCGTTCCTCTCACATCTCGTACTCGCGACCGCATGCTGGCCATTACGCAGTCATTCCTCCAGAAGGCGCTTGACATTCACCGAAGCGGGCTCAGCAATGGGTACTCCAAGACTGGATACGCCACGCCTAGCGAGTTCAACTTCATTGTTTTGCCGCCTACAAAGATTCTCGAGTATTTCCTCCGCAGTTACGTTCGCAGCTTGCAGTACTACTACCCCCTCATTGTCGCAGGATGCGTTGACCCCAATGAGATGCTGCTGAACAACCAGGCGTCGACATTGCTGCTTCTGTTGATGATCGCACAAGGCGCTGCGGCAGTGCCGATGGCTGAGGCACGGTACCTTGCTGCAGGTCTGACGGAAACCTGTCGCATCTCACTCTTCGATATCATCGAGAAGGATGTCGAGCTGTCTGCGGACCCCGTCGCCTTGAGATGTGCACTTCTCTTCACCCTCCAAGGTGCTTGGAGTGGTGACAAGTGGTTGATGGATATCTCGATGGGACAACGGGGAATGTACTTATCGGTAAGCAGCCACAATCCTCCCAACATGCTAAGAATAAGTTCACTGACGTAAAGCAGATGCTCAAACACGCCGGCATGTTGGAGCCTCAACCATCCATGATCCCCACGTTGAACAGCACAACAAGCACCGAGCTTCAGTGGCGGGCTTGGTTGCATCGAGAGATGCAGAACAGGCTTGTATACAACTGGGTCATGTGTGACCAAGAGCTCAGCCTGTTCCATGATACCCCGCCGCAGTTGGCCATCACCGACCTACAATGCCCGCTCCCCAGCCCCGAGGCCCTTTGGCTTGCGTCCAACTCGGAGCAGTGGTTCGCAAATGTCCAGAATCTCTACGGTTGCACCGCGAATGTCAACCCGCAGCTTCTGTCTAGCCCTTCCCTCACTCCCTCTCTGTGCGAGCTATTCCAAGACTTCCTCCACGACAACCTCTCCCGCCGCCAAGCCGGCCTGTCTCCTCAACAGCTTCGCCTTCTCCTTCACCCCCTCCAGTCCCTTCTCTGCCACCTGAGGCAAATGCTCTCCTGCTTCTCCGATGTTCTTTCTACCCGTCGCGCGACTTCGAGGACTGTGACCAAGTCGAGCACCATGCTCCGCCTGGAAGAGGTTCAAGCACTTCTCCAGAAGTGGTACGAGCTCACCATGCTGTACTACAAGAGTAACCCCAACTGCACGACCACGCGCTGCAACCTGGTTCTCTACCACCTCATCTCCCTCAACGCCGTTACCAACTTCCCAGAGATTGAGCGTCTCGCCCGCCGCGACGGCTTCGATGGCTCCTACTGGGAGCTGAGCCTGCGCCACAAGCGCTGCGTCTACAACCGCGAGGAGGCCATCTTCCACTGCGGCCAGGTCCTGCGTCTCTTGCGCTCCATGCCTGCCGACCGCCGCCCTTGCTGGTGGGCCGCCGGTGTCTACCGCGCGACCCTTATCCTCTGGGCTGACAGCGTCGCACGCCTTGACCCCAACTTCCAAAAGGCCCAGCAGGCCCATCAGCAGTCATCGTCCCCGTCATCTCAGCATCAGGGCCAAAGCCCCGAGCATCTTAGCGGCGCTGGCGCCTCTAATGCTGCCGCGGGCGGACAGCACGGTAGCGGAAATGTCGTCGCGATCGACCAGGTCACACCGGAAGACCCGTCCGTCATCTCCTACCTGTGGAGCGGGGGCGACGGAATCGCCGTCCTGACGCGCCGCGACGGCACCACGCTTGGCTTGGACAAACCTGCCGAGGTGATCAATTACGGCATCATGGCCATCGAAGAAGGCGTCACATGCCGTGTCGGCGATGGTATCAGACGCAAGCTCATCACCCTCAACAACAACTGGAACGTGGACGGCCTCGCCAACACGGCTACCGCGTAAAGAGAGGTCCATTGTCCCTCGTTCTTACTCTGAACATCCTTCGAACTCAACCAAAA